TATTTCTCAAGATGAAGATTGAGGCTTCACTGAGAGAAGCTGTCCTTGAACTCTGGTCATTACCCTGTAAACTGAATAATAGTAAGCAATGGTAATAGTAATGCTAAATTGTAAACCTTTTATGGATACAGGGCCCTTTTACTATCCTCACCTCATCAAATTCTTTTAATAACACAGGAGGGTGGTTATAAACTGTGTCCCAATTTTAGAAGGGCAACACTGTGCAGGGGGCTGGGTGAATCACCCAACATAACTCAGCCACTCAGTGGAGAAGCCAGAACTTGGACCATGACTTCCAGACCCCTTTGTGTTTATGGCACTTATATTATGGTGATTTAACGACATGTAACTTTTTGGGCAACCTCTGTCCTTTCCCTTAAACTCTGCGAAACTGAAAGCCATTGTGGGAAACCCTCAGGTGTACGAAGATGAGATAGAGGTGGTTCTGATTCTGGAAGTGTTTGTAACCGAGCACTCACGGGCCATGTGAACAGCTGGCCACAGTGCACTGTGTGCAGGCTCCACCAGGAGCTGCAAGATCCAGCGGGACCAGCCAGCTAAAGAAATGCCGAGGAGAACACACATGTAATCTAGGCCCCCTTAGCCACCAAAGAACCCTATTCGGATGCAGATTCTTAACTAACATATAAATTAACTTCTGCATTTTAGAGTCCCTCCTAACTTTACAAAGCAAATATATCTAGGGTGTGAAAGGATCTAGTGAATTTCACTACAAGTGCCTTTTTCCATTTTTTATCCCGGTTATTTGACTTTGTTTATGTCTCTTCAATTTGGCACTGGTTCCTTTGTCTTTTCTGTTGTAATTAAACCCATGTTCTGGAGATCTAAATAAACATCCCAAACCACCCAGTAATATTTATGCCTTGAATCAGACTCCAAGTTGAAACTAATTAAGCAGATAAATGGCTTCCACTTCTTATTCTCTATTTAATTGCTTGTATTTGACTGTATAGCACCCGAAGTGATCCATGGGGTTATATAATCTATTAATTGCTGCTCATGAAGAAAATTGATAACAGATACTACTGAGTCACATGGAATTATAAAACCTACTTATGGGGACAGAGACCATCTCTATGCCTGAGATTATTTAGGGAGCTAGTGTTTTGTATTAAAATGGAATTAAATGCTTAAATTGCTTTTACTTTTGTCTGTCAGCACGGTTCTTGACTAGGAATGCATTCTAGCATTATAAACTTTGTGCTGGCTATTTTTCCCAGCTCTCCTATAACACACATGAAAATGTGAAATTTGCTGGTAATGATAACTTCAGAAAGATTTCCCAAAGTCTGTCCTCTAAGCAACAGAGTAAATGTACTGCCTAATTACAACTTTGAAACAAAGCTCTAGACTCCAGTGCCTCTTCCTGCTGAATATTATTCCAAATATTCCCTACATGGAAATCTTTTAATTTATTTTTTAATCCCACCTCTAGTCTCCTTGCCGCTTTGTAAAACTAGCCCCTTCCGATGTTCCCTCCCCTGTACCTTCCACACAGTTACTGGCTAAGCGTCTACTCTCATATTTAAATATTTTCTATTTCCAGAGAGGTGCAGGTTCCAGTTTTATTTTCTTCTGATGAATCTCACCCTTGTTTCAATCTTTACTTGGGTGCTTTACTGTGTCTGTTCGGTGTTGAGCTCTACCTCTGCCTAATATCATTTGCTCTGCTCATGGATTAAGGATCAGTGTTCCTTCTCTCAGCCAGATTCTCTTCTTACTGTGCTCTGTGCTCACCCAGTTCATTCACTTTAAGCATAAATTGGTGACAGGGCTGATGGCTTTGAATTGCACATAACTCTCGGCTAATCAGGACTCCCCTTCCCCCAAACCATTGCCTCACATACTTGAAAAGTCTAGGGGTGAAGCTTTTAGCATGCACGGATCCAAAAGTACCAACAACCAATTTAACTTCTCCTAAGAAGTGGATTCTGGCAAATGTATCCATTCCCTGGCAAATGCACTCCCAATCAGAGTCCTTTAGTTGCTTGATAGTCCAATAAAGACACGCATCAGCTCTTGACTGACCCATTCAGAATCACTTGCTATTCTTGAGCCGATGAGTATCTCTGGGGATTTGGAGAATGCTAATTGTGAAAGCCTGGGCTGTGTGCCCCTTCTTGCGGTCTGCAAATGAATATCAATGCTCTCAGAGCCCCAGTGACTTGGATGGGGGTGGGCAGGAGAGTACCACATGAAAATCAGGGTGCTGGCTCGGAAGCATGGAGCTGGCCAGACAAAGAGGTGTGCATTATAATCTCCTTCCCAGGCTGACCGTGAACATTTCCAGCCCGGGATCCTGTATCTGGATTTTGAACTCTATCATCTCTATTAAGAATAGAGGAAGGGGGGGCGCTGGGGATTTAGCTCAGCGGCAAAGTGCCTGCCTGGCAAGCACAAGGTCATGAGTTCGGTTCCCGGTACCGGAGAAAGAATAGAGGAAGGGGAAGGAGAGAAGAGGAGCAGTAAAAAGTGAACATTTGTCATATACATGTACCAGTTCCCCATGATGACTGTAACAATTATGTACCTCAAATATGTACTAATAAAAATAAAGTACAAAAAAAAAAAAGAATACTGTAGAAGGTGGCATTTTCAGTGAATGCTCATAGAGAATCATGACTGCAGAGTAATCAACAGTGGTTTAGTTTGCCTCAATTTTAGAAATGTGGCAGGAAAGAGATATCTGCTGTTTCTTTCTCTCCCCTCCTATTAACAGTAGCTTGCATGATAAGTCCTCGGCAGAATGTGTGACACAATGACTCTGTGGCTGACCCCACACTCCTTATCCCTAATTTCCGTGTGTGCCCTAAATCTCAGAACCTGGCTTCATTTCAGAGCTTACTTGAGCTGCCCTTGATCACTTCTGCTCAGTGGAGGACACACTGGGTCCTTCATAGTTTGGCTTCCAGCCATTTGACTGTAATACATTTTTTTCCCCTTCTGTGTGTTGTGTGACTCACTAGCTGTGTGCTTTGGTCAAGATACTTAACCTTACCAACCTTCAGCTAATGTCCTTCGACATTCCTCTTTCCTAGGGTGCTTATAATGGTCTTTCAAATTCATGTGAACTTGGCTTGGAACACACACAGGGGTCAGCAAATAGAGGTGACCCTTGGAAATACATCCCTGAAGGACCTGCCTCCTGTGTGGGCTTTTAAGGTTTTGCTAGCTCATTTCTTCATCACAGCTCCTTTAGCCACGCTTACTTGGGGAGTTCTTCTTGAATTTGTTATAGTTTGTACTGCATTTATTGGGTGTACAATATATCTACCAACCTGGTCCTCACAACAAGACTATAGGGAGGTAACATTTTTTGCTTTCATTTGACAAATGCAAAAAAGAGACTTAGAGGAGATGTTCAGAAAAAGGGTGTCAACTTGTTACCAAGATTCAGACAGGGGCCTGGGACTCAGATCAGAAGCAATGTCTCCTTCTTGTTTTCATCCAATGAGTGGTCTGGAATCTTCCTTGTGCAATTGGCTTTGGCTGCTCTGCTCGAAGGTGTGGAGGCGATGGCTGTGGGGTACTCAGAGAGATCTACGGCCAGCATAAGATGGCCAAGTGACCCTCCATGGGTGGTGGGCAAATCACCCGTCCTCAGATGGACTGGAGATGGTAGAGCACCTTTTCTCTGGTTTTCACCTCTCCCTTTCTCCAGTGGAAGGATGGAAATGCACCGTGCCCTCACGGCCCCGCATCTGACCTGCTGCTGGGTACTTGTGTCACTCTTTCCTGGCTTCCTGCTCTTTCAAACAATCCCTTAAACATCTGAGCACCGCAGAAGTCCTAACCTGATCCCCCTTTGAGTCCTTACAATACACTGGGAGTGCATATTTCAGCCCGTGTAGTGTCTATGCACTGTGCATATAGCAAGAGCTCGATCAGTGGTTAACGGTTACTTCTGTTTTGTGTAAGGACCCACTTAGTTTTCTTTCATTTACAGGTTTTGTTTTCCTCAGTGAGGCTGTAGATGTCTGAGAGGATGGGCAGGTCTACCAATTCCTCTCTATCACCGATTACTTGCCACAATGAACGATTCTCAGAGAAGATTACTGACTCATTCACTTATAGTAGATGTGTAATGCATGCTCTTGGCTTCATTAGCTAGCCAGACTTTACCACGAGTTTTCACAGATGATGGGATTTTTGTAACTGGAAAGCTTTTGAACATTTCGAACCCTTGATTTTCTACCTTAAACATTCAGACAGGAAGAAACAAAAATAACCCAATGTTAGCCACAGAGGTAAAATATTTAACTACTCTATGTTCTTTGTTTTGCATAAAGAAATGTTTAACCAAGATTCCTCAGGTGACAGTCAGATGATCAAACTTTTAAAAACAAATATGCTCGCACAAATATGCAGGCACGATTTACCTCAAAACACAACTATGTGTGTACCAGATCTCTGCTTCTGTTGCTTTATGAGGGCACATGTTTCTTATAAAGCTTGATCCACTTGAACAAGTGTTTTATCCCTTGGCATAGAAGTCATCATTCAAGACAACTATTGAGATCTCTAATGTTCATAGCACAAGGAGTCAGGGTGGAATTATAAATAAAATACCTGCCTTCAAGGAATTTACAGTCTGATTACAGGGACAGCAGAAGATAGCTGAGGGTAAACAGCTGTGTTTGGGATTTCAGCATTTTAAGGATTATCTAGCGCAGACCTCTTACCTTTCAGAAAAAGGACTTGGAAGAAGAGATTCTGAGGGATAAAATGGTCAGTGCTGTAGAGAACATTATGGATGAAAGGGGTAGCCTGCATTTCATCTCTGATCCCTTCTCTCCTGTTGATGGGCCTTTTGCAAACAGAAATCACCCCATTCTGCCTGAGTGCCAGCAACAAGGAAAATGAAGGAATAGAAATGGACATGCACTATTGGAGGCGGGGTCATTGCCCCCCTCCTGCGTGTTGGCATGGCAACTGCCCGGGCTCCCTAGCAACTGAGAATCCAGTACCACTGATGAGAATGTAGGACCCAGGCAAAGGCGGGCAAAGTGTAGAGGAAGCTGCTGTCCCTGGTGAAGAATGCCAGGACACAACTCTTGGTTAAGCTGGACACTGTGGACACCTTTATGTCAGTTTGTCACTCTACTGGCTTAATACGACCTACCGCAACTTATATCACACTTCATGTCTGCCCTTCAACGTTTGTGAAAATTTTTCCTTTGGCCATCTCTACCCTGTTATAACACAAAGGTAAGGACCCTGAGAATAGTCCAGTGTAACCCAGTGTAACCAAGGTGACACAAAAGAATCCCTCATCTCTAGCTCTCAGTGAAGTTGAATATACTTTTATATGTTTATTGATCATTGCTGTTTTCTCTTCTGCAAAGAACCCAAGTCATGTGCCTATTCTTTTTAAACTGGCTTTGATTTTCTAACACTGATTACTAGGACTTGCTTAAATATCTTGATTACAACCCTGAGTCCTTTATATGGGAGGCAAATAAGTTATCCCAGTTTGTGGCTGGTAATTTCACTTTTGATCACAGCATCCTTTGAAGAACAAAGGTCTTTGTTTCAATACAATTTCATTAATCAATTTTTTCTTACACTTTCCACTCTTTGTGTACTGTTTAAGAAATACAGCCTTAAGCAAAGGCACAAATTTAGTTTTGTAAGATGTCTTCTAAAAGTTATGTAGTGGTCCTTGTATGTACTTGTAATTAACATTTGTAAAGAGTGTGCGACAGATTCATTAATTTTTTTTCATATGGATATCTGCCTGTTCCAGGACCTTCTTTTAAATCTTTCTGTCCTTTCCTTACTGATCTGCCTTGCCTGCTCCATCATAAATCTTTTTCAAATATAATTATGACTCTATTTATGGATTCTCTAGTGTTATTGGTGTCTCTAACCTTATTCTCCAATCTTATTGTACCTCTTTAACACTACACCCCTTCCTCAGTTTATGTTTCTTCGGGAGTATTTTGGTGGTTCTTGATTCTTTGTATTTTCTATGTATTTTAAAATCATCCTGATAAATTCCGTAAGATATTCTATGAGATTTTTATTGAAATTATACACAGTCTCTAAGCCAATTGGAAGAAATTGACATAATTCTATTATTGAGTCTTGCTAGCCATGAATGGGATATCTCTTTTAATTTATGTAGGTCTCATTTAATAACAGACCCCATGAATTTATTTTGATAGATTTATTCCTAGGTACAGTACTTCATCATTTTTGTTACTTTACTACACAATACAAAAATTTTCATATATAGGATATATTTTTCTTCAAATTGTTGCTTGATTAATTTTGATTTTGCACCCAGAAACTTGCTTAAGTTCATTCATATAATTTATGTAGAAATCCTTTTGGGTGTTTCAAAAAGTTATTCATATCATTGACCGCTCCATCCCTTGGCTTTCCAGGTTGTATTCTTCCTAATCCTTTCTTCCCTTCATTTCTTGTCATACCACATTCCCTAGGTTTTTTGATGCACTTCCAAACTGTAGTGATTATGGTAGGTACTTTTGGTGTGGTTTTAAATCTTTAATATTTGACCACTATGATGCAACTTCTTTTATATATAATATGTGTATCACATAGGTATAGCTATTATACAAGTATTATATACAAATATGTATTATATATCACATAGCTATTATATATAAATAAATATTGCAAAGTG